AATGATGGCTCAGAGGTTAAATAACTTGCCCATGTTTACCCAGTATGGTGGAACCAAGAATTGAATGTGGGCAGTTGAGGACCTTTGTCTTTAAATGCTCTTCCATACCATTTCTCAGAACCAAAATACTCCATATCATTATTCAGAGGAACAAAGTACCCCAAATATTACATATGACTGAAGAAGGTCTCTTGCCAAGACTATAGACATAACACCATTATCAACTGATGTTGGTTAAATACTATGACCAGCTTGAGTCCAGCAGATTTCTTAGCATAACTGCACAAATGGAAACAGGGAATCCATTTCCTTCAATCACTGAATGCTATCTAACTTTAAAAAATAGTAGGCATTATTCCATTATTGATTCTTTTGTGAGTCTATCATAGGATCATAGAATAGTGGTGCTAGAATGAACTTTGAGATATTAGCTATCAATTAAATGCAGAAATAAGTTAACGGGTTTGCGGTGACAAACAGGGTTATGCTCTCCTTTTTGAAATGTCCACAGCATCTATATTTATTTCAGCATCTAAATCACTAGTTGATTACTGTACTATAGTTGGTGCATAAAGCCTATCCTCGGCTAGAGAGTAAGATCCATCAGCCTGCTTCTTTTTTCTAGTACCTTCTGTGCCTGATATTGTGCCTATATACAGGGAGGTGCTCAATGCATATCTGTTGAATGGCTGACTCCCTGATCCATTCACTAACTGCCACATGCATGACACTGTGATGAGCCTATTTCACTGTTACCTGTGAGAATAACTGCAAGATATTGCAGACTGCTAGCCTCTGTACCCTGGCCCACCACTTGTTAGCTCTGTAACCATGGGAGACTTGCATAAGCTCTCTAAGCTTGCATAAGCTTTCATTTCCTCATCTAGTAAATGGTTGTAATAATAGTACTTCACTCAGCTTTGTTCTAAGGAAAAAAATTGAAGACTTACTGCAGGCATTCCCTAGATCCATACAATGATGTGTGCTATCTTTACACATCCCACCACAACTGAGTGGAAGAACAGTGACCTGCAGCGTTGTCCCCCACAACTGTCCCCAGTCAGTTCTGCTCTGAACAGTGCAAAATAGAAAACTATCCGTTCTGAACTTCCCAAAAAAGGCTTTAAGCCTCTATAGATAATTCCTTCCAGAAACTCATCACTTTATCCAAAAGTATTTGTCTTACAAAATCTTTGCTAATTAAACTCTCAGGGTGTTTAGTTAAACCCAAAGTCCTTTACAGAGTCTATAAAGTCCTTCAAGGTTTGACTTCTGCTTAACCTATGTAGCCCTCAGCCTTCCATCCTCTCTCCCCTCTTTTACCTAGAGTTTGTTCTGTGAAAGCACAACATTCTCTCTCCTTTTCACTCCTTTGTACATTCTGTTCCCTCAGGGTGGGGTACATTTCCTGGCTTTCTTAGCCTCAGGTCTGAGCTACACCATTGCTTCTTCCGGAAAGCTTCCCCCAGCTCCCAAGACAGGATCAGATGTCCTCCACAGATCATCCTAGTCCCGATGGCCTGATGGTCCTCATCACTCCAAATCATCAAATGTTTCTTTCTTTCCTGGTCTGTATCCCTCCTTAGGCTGGGAGTTCACTACTGCACCATTTACCACATATCTCCCAGCTTAGTACGCACTCAATATATAATACCTGTTGAATCAATGAGTGAGCACACGAGTAAGGAAAGTTAAATTCAGTTTTGTCTTTTAACATAGAATGAATATGAGAAAACAGCCCCTTTCTTCAATTAGAAAGAAATCATTATTTACTTGAAGATAATAATTGAGTTTGCTTCAATCACCTGAACAACTGCAGTTGAAACTTATGTTTAACTCAGTACAAAATAAGCCCTAAAAAAAAACATTCCTTAATTTGATCTAATGCAAGAAGCCTCTGCATGTTCAGATTCTAATTCATTACTGTTTTTAAAAAAATAAATATTAATAGCTATGTTTGTGCTGACTAGAGTATTTTAGAGGCACAGTTATTTATTAAAGAGGCATTTGACTCTTCTGTCCACAGTCCAATGCAGCAGTCTAGAGTGAAGGGGAGGGAAGCAAGGATCACCCACAGTTCCTGCTGCCCACAAATTTATCCAGGTGATCTTTATCATCAAGATTACTGTGGTAAAAAATTAAATAAGCACTTTAAGGTACCTTCACTCATGTTGATCCTTATGCAGTCCTGAGAAATAAAATAAATGCAATTTATTCCTATTTACTGGCTGGGAGATGACATGATTTCCCAACTGACAGATAACTCAGGTAGTGACAGACCCAGACCTGGAGCCCAGGTCTCTGTGCCCTGTTGGACTATACCATGTCCCATGCATATACCCATGACCCTAAGGGCCAAGTGAAAGCCAAGGCTGAGGAATACTGTGAGTTTATATAACGTTTTCCCAGTGACATCACATGGGAAAAACCTCCCCATCACAGCCCCAGGTGATCCCACAGTGTAAGACGTGGTGAGGCATACAGTTAAGTGTCCAAAACATTTCCTGGCAAATGTGGACCATTCCCATTTTGCTGGAGAAGAGGTATTCTCTTCTCTTGTTTGAAAAGGAAAAGCACACAATTTTAAGAAGTTTCCCATCTTAAAAATTCAAGATGACAATTTAGCAAGGCATGGGAGTTTTGGCTTTTTGCTCTAGGTTTTTGCTTTACATCAAATCAAAGAAATCTAAGCCCACATTAAGAAGAGTAAATTAACCTTAGGGGGACCATTAGTTTGTTTACTCAGAATAAAATTATGTCCTCTGTAAATGGGAATATCAAATAACATAAAAAGCCTAGGAGATTTACATTTTCTTTTTGATTAGAGGATTGCATCTACTGTACTCAAGGAAGGAAAATCTCTCCCATTTAGCTTTTGAAGATCAAGGAGGCCATTAAATATGCCGTATTACCAGCATTTTTCCCCCCTTTTTAGGTTAAGACTAGGGGATGCTTTATAGATTGAGATTGTCATGGGGAAAGGAGGACTTCATTTGGGTTCATAGGAACTGATTATGGATAGGCTCACTTCCCTCAGGCAGGACCATATGCTTAACTTTTTATTCAAATAGGGCTCTCCTACAGCTCCAAGTGCTCTCTGACCCGCCTGCTAAGTTTTGTGTGCATAGACCTGACAGCACACGTCTACACACCTTTCAGTCAGCCATGGCCTGATCTGAGTCTAAGCCTTGAGGATATTTCTATAGTACATTTGATAAACATCTGCAAAGACAAAAATGGAGTGAAAAGTACAATCACCGAGAAAAAGGATAAATCTCTATATAGGTATTCAGTTGGGATAAAATCACTTTCCTCCCCACAGGAGGAGGCCCAGGCAACAACCTACATTCCCCTTCCTAAGGTAAATAGCCAAATGTATGAGGAGCTTAAAGACAGGGATGCATTCTGAGAAATGAGTCATTAGGTGATTTAATCGTTGTAACCATTGCAGTGTGCATTTACACACGCCTAGGTGGTGTGACTACTACACACCCGGGCTGTACTGCCTGCTGCCCTTAGCTACAAACCTGTATGGCATGTGACTGTATTAATATGGCAGGCAACTATGACATAGTGTAAAGTGTTTGTGTAAACACATCTAAACATAGAAAAAATACGGTAAAAAATAATAGTGTAAAAGATAAAAAATGGTTCACCTGTATAGGGTGTTTACTGTGAATGGAGCTTGCTGGACTGGAAATTGCTCTGAATGAGTCAGTGAGTACACTGAAGGCCTGGGACATTACTATACACTACTGTGGACTTCATAAACTTAGTACACTTTGCTACTCTAAATTTATTGCATGATAATAAATTAACCTTTCTTTAACATAATTAACCTTTCTTTCTTCAATAATAAATTGCCCAAGCTCACTATAATTTTTATACTTTATAAACTTAAAATTTTTTAACTTTTTGATTTAAAACAGCTTAAAATGCAAATATTGGACAACTTTACCAAAATAGTTTATTATAATAATAAACTAATATAATAATTCTATAATAATAAACTAATATAATAATTCTAATTCTTTATATTCTTGTTGTATGAGCTTGTTTATTTGGAATTTTTTTACATTTTTACTTTTTAAACTTTGTTTAAAATGGAGACACAAACACACACATATTAGCTTAAGAGCTACACAGGGTCAGGATCATAAACATTAATATCACTGTCTTCTACCTCCATATCTTGTCCCATTGGAAGGTCTTCAGGGATAATAACATGCACAGAACTGTCATCTCCTCTGATAACAATGAGGACTTCTAGAATAACTTCTGAAGGAACTGCCTGAGACTATTCTACAGTTACCTGATTTTTTTTTCAAGTAGAAGGCATACACTCCAAAATAATGATAAAAAGTATAGTATGGTAAAGACTATGTTAAACTCAGTCCAGTGGTTTATAATCATTATCAAGTTATTATTTACTATACATAATTGTGTTGCCATACTTTACTTTATATGACTTGCAGTGTGATAGTTTGCTTACACCAGCACACCACACAGGTAAGCAGTGTGTTGCATTACGATTGTGTGTAGGACTATGATGTCACTATGAAATGGGCATTTTTGAGCTCCATTATAATCTTATGGCCTTAACTAAAACACCATGGTTCAGCTAAAGTGTGAAATACAGTTTTATCTTCGCCAGCTGAAATACCAAATCACCATTGGTGTGCAACAGTAACTGCATTCTTTGCATCATAGTGATTCAGTGGTTTAACATAATAGCTATTTCAAGTTGCTTTCTGGTATTTAGAAATTGGCTATTCCTTGTTCTTATTCCCTATTTCAATGAACTTGGATAATTAAGACCTTTTGCCCCATGTGTAGTATGTGGGTCTAATCTGAGCCTGGGCTCCATCTCTAACATACAGATAGTAAAAGGAAAATAAGAGAGGAAAGATTGAGATGATTTCAAATAAAATGGTCTAATGAATACAATGAGTGAGTTTATTTTGATTAAGGACTTGCCTTTTTTTTCCTGCTTTGTGCAGACAACAACCAATACAAGACAAATACTCAGACCTCCGATATGACCCAAACTGGAAGAATAAGGAGGAAGGGCAGCTGCTGACTGCAGGAGCATTGCCAGAGTCTACAGACAGCTCTTCAGAAAACCTGCCTTTGGACCCACTATACCCCTCCAAGGAGCCCTCAATGGAACTCCCAAAGGATAACGGCGAACAGAAGAGGACTCCACAGAGTGTAGCCTCCTTACTTGGTAGTGAATTTTTAAGCCCAAGCTATGAGCCTGGCATCCATCGCAGCAAGCCCTCTTATGAGCTGAGTGACAGTGACCTGGAGGAGAAGTCAGTCAGCAATGCCTCTCAGTATGTGAAGAGTTCAAGTTCACACAACGAGGTTTTCCTGCCAGGATCACGTGGCACTCGGCGGAGGAAGTCCAAACAATATTTTGTGGAAAAAAACAAGCTGACTTTGGGATTACCCACTCCTAAACCAGACTCCTACCTTCAACTTCACAATAAAAAAAGGGGGGAAATTCTCCTAGAACAGGTATGTAGTGGAAACTTGAAAATCTCTTCTGAAACACTAAGATAGAATTTGCATTTTTGTTTGAAATGGCTAGATGTCACGTCCTCTGGGTAGAGACTTCTAGTAAAACAAACACTTCTGGTAGCATACCCTGTGTTGCTCATGCTTATAGAATGAGAGGAATTATTCCACAAATTCTTTTTTTCTTTTTGAAATTCGGGCTGCAATCACTACATGTGACCCTAAGCAGGTAAATGAATTTTTGGAATCTCAGTTTTTCTTTTTATTTTTAATTGTTTTGTTATTTTTAAAAAAATTTTATTTTATTATTATTATTATTTTGGTTTGGGATTCATTGAGGGTACAAAGAGTTAGGTTACACTGACTGCATTTGTTAGATAAGTCCCTCTTATAATTGTCTCTTACCCCCAAGAGGTGTGCCATACACCGTGACCTCCCTTTCCCTCTCCCCTCCCCTCCCCTCCCCCTTTGTACTAAGTCATCTACTGCCTTCATATTAGAATTCAGTAACTGGATTCTTGCTTCTTCATTCTTGTGATGCTTTACTAAGAACAATGTGTTCCACTCCGATCCAGATTAATACAAAAGATGTAAAGTCTCCATCTTTTTAATGGCTGAATAGTATTCCATGGTATACCTATACCACAGCTTGTTAATCCATTCCTAGATTGGTGGGCATTTAGGCTCTTTCCACATATTGGTGATTGTCAATTGAACTGTGATAAACAGTCTAGGGCAAATGTCCTCATGATATAATGTTGGGGGTTTTTTATTGTGGATATATATCTAGTAACGGGAATGCAGGATCAAATGGGATGTCTAATTTGAGTTTTTTCAGGATTCTCCATACTTCCTTCCAAAAAAACTGTATTAGTTTGCAGTCCTACCAGCAGTGTAAAAGTGTTCTGTTCTCTCCACATCCACACCAGCAACTGCAGCTTTGAGACTTTGTCATGTGGGCCATTCTCGCTGGGGTTAGGTGATATCTCAGGGTAGTTTTGACTTACGTTTCTCTGATAATTAGGAACAATGAGCATTTCTTCATATTTGTTAGCCATTTGTCTGTCCTCTTTGGAGAAGGTTCTATTAATCTCTCTTGCTCAGTGATGCATGGGATTGTTGGACCTTTTTTTGTTGATTATTTTATTCCACAGATTCTTAAAAGTAAAATAAAAGCCGTCAGTGGTTTATAATGCTGTAATTGTTCTATCCAAAATTCTCCGTTTGTGGAACCACAGAATTGTTTCAAAGAGTGTATTCCAAAAAATACAGGACTAAGCATTCCATTCCCTATGTTAATTGCCTTTGTTTCCAACATAGATCTGGTTTTCAACCTTTTTTAATGGGCCAACATGTTGGGGGTCACATGACACACTCATCAATAACCACAACTCACATCCAGAAGTGATTTCTCAACTGAAGATCGTATGGTAGTGGGAGGAGAGCAGAGCACAACGTGGGGTATTGTTTTTTACTGTTAGCCTTTTCTATGGTCCTGTGCAAATGATATTAAGTGATTAAAGCTTAGCCTTTTCATCTTTAAACAGGAAAAATAATAAATGTCCTCTCTTCCTCATCTAATAATTTTGAGGGCAAAATCTACCTCAAATGATGTATGCAAAACCTTTTGGAGCCAATTAACTTAGCTCTACTTCATGGGTGCACAAAAAGATCTTATTAGGCCGCCTCCTAGTAGATACACCCATGGACACAAGAAAAGTGTCTGCCTGGATCATACAATCCACCACGCTTATTTAAAATTCATCACCTACTAATGTGGGGTCATTTTGAAATGCCAAGGAGAGGTTATTATGTTAAATGCAGATGCCCTTAAACTTATTCCAAATCCCAACTGGTGTTATTTAGTGTACTCTAACCTGTCCTAACCCCTAAGCATTTTCTGATGGAAGAAGACAGATATATTCATGCTTTTTCTTGATTCATTAACCCCCTCTATGGTTTTAAAGGATGAAGTCACAGTGATTTCATAGAGTATTTTTCTTTTTATTATGCCATGGCAAAAACTTTAAGTTCTTGTGTTGTTCCTTGAATGAGTCATTAACCTTTTCTACCACTTTCTCCAGATCCAAATGTATAACTGCTAATTGTTAATTGTATTCAAAACTGTTCCTTCACTATTTTCCCAACATATGTATGTTTCCTTCCTATTAATTTTTTTTTTTTTTTTTTGAGACAGAGCCTCAAACTGTCGCCCTGGGTAGAGTGCCATGGCATCACAGCTCACAGCAACCTCCAACTCCTGGGCTCAAGCGAGTCTCCTGCCTCAGCCTCCCAAGTAGCTGGGACT